ATATAGCCTGATGAAAACATGTTCAACTACCTCCTTAGTTTCAATGTAGACATTAGAAATAATGTTTTCTAACTCATTGCTGTCAGATAAAGCTCAGAGTTGTCCGGCAAAGAAAATGTCAGAAAACCAGCACATGCTGTGAAAAACTAATTATGACAAAAATAACTAAAACAAATAATTAAAAAGATGTTTCCACTCGAGAATCATGAATTTCCAGGAATAACATTTAGATGAATTTAGCATCTCATTAGAAAAGAAAAAACAAAACATGACATACTTATCGAGAAACAAGAAAAATGTTTCTTATTCAGTGGAACAAATATAAAATTACCTTGCTGGACCAAAATACGACAAATTATTGTAAAATCTCTCAACCAAAAAACAAAATATTGCTTGAGAGTTAATAAAATGCTAAGATTCTTGCTTCTGCTTTTTATTATTTTTGCTTGAATAAGGGCCTTTTTTTTGCTGCAGAATTTGACATTTTGGATTTGCTTCTGTGTAATTTTTATTTTTAGCCCCCTCTCACTGCTACATCCTAAACCCCGGACATGCCTATAAATTAAAGAATACACTGCATAGTGCAGCCTCTTCCATCCATTGTAATGAGATTCAGGAGAAGTGTGACAGACGTAACATGTTTGCAGTAAGGATTGTGCCTGATTGAAAGTTCCTGAATAATTCTAGCTGAGGCATTCAGAGGAGGATTCCCATCTAGAATGCAAATATAATTCCTATTTTGAAGAATTTGAATTTGCCCAAAAAGTTACTTAATTCACATGCACTGGTATAACACATATCACACTAAATATATTGTACTTTGCCATATATTTGCTATTTCAGGATTGATGGTTCAAACTTACAAATGAAAACTGTTACGAATTGCAACACCCTCCTTATAGAACTGGACCAAAAAAAATAGGAATTTATAAAAAATATATATATAAAACATTAAATTTGTCATTGCTTAGAAAGACTGCAAATCTTGTTTTTGCAAATAGGTAGGACGGTAGAAATTTGAATTAACTTATTAGAAAAACTATTAACAGAGAATGTTATTTTTTTTTAAAACATAATTTTAATTTGAGTATAGAAAAAATACAAGGAACATTTAAAAACTTCATACTAAAATTCAAACAAACAAAGACTCTAAATCTATAAAAAAAACTAACAAAAAAATTATATAAAAACAGTTACAAATTACAGAACTCATGATAGGGAACAGAAGCAAAAATAAAAAACAAAAAACACAAATTGTGTGATTGGTTAGAAAGTAAGCATGCCCTAGATAGGATTGTAGCATTGATATTAATTTAGTAGAAAAGCTATGAAAGCAGAATGTTAATAATAAAAAAAGGTAAGTAAAAACATTGTACAAATTCAAACAAACAAAAACAAAAACCGCCAACCTTAAAAAAAAAAATGGAACAAACAAAAATAAAATAAAATAAAAGCTATACCTATTCTATTGGATAGAACGAGAGCAAAATGGTGCAATGGATCACTTCTGAAATAGTTGCTAGATATCTTCCATAAGATGTTATTTCAAACAGCTGCTGGGTATTTGCATCTTAAAAACTAACACTAGGTTTCCAGCGTACAACCATTAAAGTCTGCTCCAGTGATTACCATCTGTATCAGAGAGTTTACCTAATACATAATACCCACATTTAATGCACTAAAACAGATACTTACCAATTAGTTGCCATGGCAACCACAAATGAATATTATAAATAGCGCCAGACTTTTTAATGTATTCATATAGAGAACCTGGTCAGATATTTAATAAGAGTTATAAGAGCTTCCAAATCACACACAGAAGAGAAAATAGCACAGTCAGTAAAAAAGGGGGATAAAACATTTTTTAGATACATAAATGAGAAAAGAAAAGTAAAACAAGGATTAGTTAGATTAAAAACAAAAGAAGGAAGGTATGTAGAAGAGGATAAAGGTCAGGCTGACTGCCTCAATGAATATTTTTGTTCTGTATTTACAGAAGAAAATGAAGGAAAGGGACCTCAGTTGAGCAAAAGGATAAATGAGTCATTTATTACACGTGAGTTTACAGAGAAAGAGGTTCTATTTCAACTGTCAAAAGTAAAGACAAATAAGTCAATGGGACCTGATGGAATACACCCAAAGCTATTAAAAGAGCTCAGTGGGGTACTAGCAAAACCATTAACAGATCTATTCAACCAATCACTGTTAACAGGTATAGTCCCAGAAGATTGGAAGTTAGCAAATGTTGTGCCCATTTACAAGAAAGGTAATAGGGAGGAGTCGGGCAACTATAGGCCAGTAAGCCTTACTTCAGTAGTGGGGAAAGTGATGGAAACCATGTTAAAGGATAGGATTGTTGAACATCTAAAAACACATGGATTTCAAGATCAGAGACAACATGGGTTTACTTCAGGGAGATCATGCCAAACTAATCTTATTGATTTTTTTGATTGGGTAACTAAAATTATAGATCAGGGTGGTGCAGTAGACATTGCTTACCTAGATTTCAGTAAGGCTTTTGACACTGTTGCACATAGAAGGCTTATCAATAAACTGCAATCTTTAAGTTTGGATTCCAATATTGTTGAATGGGTAAGGCAGTGGCTGAGTGACAGGCAACAGAGGGTTGTAGTTAATGGAATATATTCAAGCTTGGACTTGTCACCAGTGGGGTACCTCAGGGATCTGTACTTGGACCCATTCTCTTTAATATTTTTATTAGTGATATTGCAGAAGGTCTTGATGGTAAGGTATGTCTTTTTGCTGATGATACTAAGATATGTAACAGGGTTGATGTTCCAGGAGGATAAGCCAAATGACAAATGATTTAGGTAAACTAGAAAAATGGTCAGAATTATGGCAACTGACATTTAATGTGGATAAGTGCAAGATAATGCATCTTGGACGTAAAAACCCAAGGGCAGAGTACAGAATATTTGATAGAGTCCTAACCTCAACATATGAGGAAAGGGATTTAGGGGTGATTATTTCTGATGACTTAAAGGTAGGCAGACAATGTAATAGAGCAGCAGGAAATGCTAGCAGAATGCTTGGTTGTATAGGGAGAGGTATTAGCAGTAGAAAGAGGGAAGTGCTCATGCCATTTTACAGAACACTGGTGAGACCTCACTTGGAGTATTGTACACAGTACTGGAGACCGTATCTTCAGAAGGATATTGATACCTTAGAGAGGGTTCAGAGAAGGGCTACTAAACTGGTTCATGGATTGCGGGATAAAACTTACCAGGAAAGGTTAAAGGATCTTAACATGTATAGCTTGGAGGAAAGACGAGACAGGGGGGATATGATAGAAACATTTAAATATATAAAGGGAATCAACACAGTAAAGGAGGAGACTATATTTAAAAGAAGAAAAACTACCACAACAAGAGGACATAGTCTTAAATTAGAGGGACAAAGGTTTAAAAATAATATCAGGAAGTATTACTTTACTGAGAGGGTAGTGGATGCATGGAATAGCCTTCCAGCTGAAGTGGTAGAGGTTAACACAGTAAAGGAGTTTAAGCATGCGTGGGATAGGCATAAGGCTATCCTAACTATAAGATAAGGCCAGGGACTAATGAAAGTATTTAGAAAATTGGGCAGACTAGATGGGCCGAATGGTTCTTATCTGCCGTCACATTCTATGTTTCTATGTTTCTATGTTTCTAATTATGTGACGTCAACGTCAATGTCTCCTTTGTGTTAAGAGCTTATGAGCTTCAGTTCGCTGTCCTGAGCTAGCTCATTGGCTTAGAGTGTCAGCTGATCGCTTGCAGCCAATGAGTTAAGCCCTGCACTACAGGGCTTAGCTCAGACAGAAAGCATCCTTCTCTCTGGTTGTGGTGACAGGGAATGGCGCTCCTGGCACTATAACCACTGCTGCTTGTTGTAACGGTTATGGTGCTTAAACTTTTCATTTAGCATTTAGCCTAAAATGTATATATCTCCAATTAACAGCAAGATTCAGGAACATGAGACAATACATTGTGTTGGAATTTACCTAATCTCATAAATACTACAGCCCATAACATAACTAGTGGCTAGACTCAAGTTACCTGTTGCAAGCCAGGACTTCCAAGTGGGGCAGAAGGGCATTTTCCCCTCAAGCCACTAGAATAGAGGTTTGTGGGCTGGAGAGATACCTTAAAGAGTGCTACAAAAGTTAAAGGTACACTCTAAGCACCATAACCACTTCCTAACCATAACCATCACCCTTGTGTTTTTTAGGTTATATTTATGGAGGTTGCCAGAATATATGAGGTCATATCTCACCGCTACAGCAACCACCATCTGTTTGCAAAATGTGAGTAGGACCATCCACACAGAAATTCATGAGTTTTGTGTACAAATGTACAAAAATATTTCATTTATTTACAAGGTTTCTAGCACTTCCCTGAGCTCATGGGTTGTGCTTAATTAGGAAATAAGCATTTAGCAGAATGAAAAGCCAGTTAAGGCCGTGTTAAAGAAGCAATATTCAACATTTATTATGAAACCTTATGTCTGCATTGCTATAAACATAATCTAGTAAAATGTCATGGCATTGGGACTGTAAGGCTGGCACACACCAGGTTTTCACAAGTAGCTTTTTGTTATAAGTTGCTGAGCGTGTTGTGAAAGACTCCAGTGTAAATGGATTCGGGTATTAAAATACTGCTGGGTGTACGATAAAAGTGCAATGAGTTTCATTCCTATATCATTCCATATCACTCATTGCTGACAAGACACACCCCGTGCAACTGCGTAAAAGAATGACTAGGTGAACGTATGAAGGACAAACTGTCCAAGGGCATGCAGCCCAGCGCATGTATTATTCAAGTCTCCTTGTATTGAACAAGTTTAACACTTAAAGTGCCAGTGGAGCATGCAATGACCGATCAGGTATTTAAAAGACAGAAGAGTGCTTGGTTTTCTTTATTCCTTAGTAAAGTAGAAAATGTTCATAACCTTAATTTGAATGAATTTCTTCAACCTCCAACAGTTTTTGGATCACTTCTCCCATACTCGTCTTTAGACTTAGAATTATGGTAGTTGTAGTGCAACACCACCGGGGAACAACGGCAGGACACATGGGCTATCCACGAACTCTCAAAAGAAGAATTGGGATCCTCTCCCATACCTTACGGGAATTAAACTTCCTGTGCAAATATTCCTTTTGGTATTATGGCAGACTGCCTCATTATAATGTGAATGGCTAATATTTTGTAAAGTGACTTTATAATGATTTGGAGGTCTGTTTGGTTATGAACTGCAATTCCTACGAATTTGGACCGTCCAGGTGAATTCACAAACTTCAGCTGGAAAATGTAGTAGAACCAAGAATTAAACGAAACACAAAGTGGACTAGCATGTTTGTTTTGATTTGTGATTCAGAATTTTGCCTGTTGGAGGAAAAAAAAATTAACTACTGATTGAGGGGAAAAAAGATTGATATTTGGAAAGAAAATAAAAGATAGATTGTTATGGGACACTCATGGAACAGTCACGACATTTAGATTTTTATACACAGATCAAGTGAGAAGCGACAAATAGAGGGGGGGAGGTGCAGAAAAAAAATATTCTGTATTTGTATATTATATATCTAATAAATATGTAAGATATACATATTTAAATATATATGGTTTTTTTTGCTGCTTTTCCTCTTTTCCCCTCATTGGGTAACTTTTTCTCACTTATGTGAACCAAATGACAGGAAATGTGCCGTCAGTGTACTGTAGACTATATGTAAGGTTGTAATAAATTATTCAACCCCCATTGAAAATCAGTTTTATTGTCAAAATGTACAGGCTTCCAGTTGTTTGCTTCAAGTGGTTTCCCTAAATTCGACTGGAAATGCAACTTACAATGACTTCTACAGTCTCAAAATTATTCAAAGAAAAGAAAAAGTTACCTGCGCTCTCTCCTTAATCCCTATGTATATTTAGACAAATGGAGGTCATTTAGTTGCTCCAATGGCCATTGGAGGGAAGGCCCACCTGCCAACGTCAACACCAGAAGCTCAAGGAAGCAGGCTGAAGGGTCAGTGTAGGGTCAGCGCTTTAGGAGGGTCTGCCTTGACGTTGGCAGGCGGGCATTCCCTCCAATGGCCATTGGAGCAACTAAATGACCTCCATTTGTCTAAATATACAAAGAGATTAAGGAGAGAGCGCAGGTAACTTTTTCTTTTCTTTGGCTTTTACTATATATTGGGGCTGATGTGTACTGTAGTCATTGCTGCCGGCCCAGTAGTGATGGGAGTGAGCGCAGGACTTATCTTTTTGTATTTGTATTTACTTTGTATCACACAGCCTTGTTACAATGATGCCGCCCATCCCATGTGTTCCCTATTAAGGGTTTATAAGTATATAGGGGTGTATATAAAAAATACCCCTCTCTGTCTCGTTAGAGATATCTTTGCCATAAGCTCAAGGAAGCAGGCTGAAGGGTCAGTGTAGGACCCGCTTTAGGGGGGGTCTGCCTTGACGTTGGCAGATGGGCATTCCCTCCAATGGCCATTGGAGCAACTAAATGACCTCCATTTGTCTAAATATACATAGGGATTAAGGAGAGAGCGAAGGTAATTTTTTTTCTTTGGTTTTTACTATATATTGGGGCTGATGTGTACTGTAGTCATTGCTGCCGGCCCAGTGATGATGGGAGTGAGCTCAGGACTTATCTTTTTGTATCAAAATTATTCAACTCCCTGAACAGAATCCCTCACAACAGCAAAGATATGCAAAACAAGTGTCTGTTGCAACTAATCAAGGGCTTCATTGGTTGTGCCAGGTGTACTTGAGCTGGAACAGATGAAATACCTGAACTGGCTAGGGGGTTTGTTGAGTGTCATGTTTGGCTGCATATTATAAATATGGCTAAGTCAAAAGAATGGCCCACAAAGTTAAGAGAAGAGATCATTGCCCTTCACAAACAAGGAAGATGATTCAAAAAGATAGCAAAGGCACTGATTGTTCCTAGAGACACCATATGAATTATAGTTCGCAAGTTCAATGTTGAAGGAACAGTGGTTACACTTCCTAGACAGGGCAGAGAAAGGAAGCTATCAATGGCTGCAACCAGATTTCTGGAAAGGCAGATTGTGGAAAACCCTTGAGTGACTGCAAAAGACCTGCAGCAAGACTGAGTGGCAACAGGCGCTGAGGTTTCAGTGAGCACAGTAAGGCACGAATTAAACACAAATGTTTTCCGTGGCAGAACTCCAAGACGTACACCACTACTGACCCATAAGTACAAGAAAAATTGTTTCCAAAATGCTCGAATAAGCCACAGAGGTTTTAGGATTTTGTTCTGTAGAGTGATGAAACAAAACTGGTACTTTTAAGCCCAATGGATCAGCGGTATGTCTGGAGGAAGAAATACGAAATATATGCTGAAAAGAACACTCTGCCTACAGTTTAGAATGGTGGTGACTCTGTGATGCTCTGGGGCGGCTTTGTATCCTCTGGCACTGGAAACCTGCAGTGTGTGTATGGCAAGATGGATTGAAGTTTAAAAAAATCCTAGGAGAAAACGTCCCTGGATTTTACAACTCTTTTGGTCCCTTTCGCCTGTTAGTCCAGTGAAATACATCCCCTACCTATTTCCACCTTGCCCCGTTCGAATACTGACCAACCTACCGAACAAACGACAACACAGGTGTGGAGTGTGCTACTTGTTGACCCCATTAATTTTACTAACACCTCTGAAAACCGCAAGCACCTCAACACAGTCGGCTGGGTGGTCATTGTTCGTTTGGGCGAACAAGTGGCAGCGGCCATCATGGAACACGAATACAGCCAGTGGTGTTTGGTCGTCGAGTGTATGGAACTAAAATCGATGGTGCGAACACCACTAGAACTTCAATACGCCAATATGTTCGCCACTATTCATATGAACGAAGCGGCATTCGGTAAAAACATTAGTCAAACGCCCAATATTCTGGAAATGTATTCACGAAATCTGATTTGTATGTAAAACTGTGAGTTAGATATTCCCAAAATACCAGATTTCGCGGAACTATTTTGGGCAGGCGCCTCGTGTGGGGTCAGTCTAAACTATACCCCAGTGGCGTTTCGGCTACATTCGTGGTATCTGAGTGGTTTTGACAAATGTTGGGCGCACAGATCCAGGCTACCCGGCGATGTAATATTTGTAGGGATATCTTATTGTTAAAACTATTTATTTATGTATTTTTATTATGCTTGTCCTGAACCTGAGAAGTAATGTAATTATGTATGTGCTTATGTTGCAGTCCCCTCTCAGGTCCAGTGGGGAATGACCCTGGAACGTGTCACCAGAAACCCCTTGCATGGGGACTTGTATAAAAGGTCAGCTGTGGCTCCCATTAAAGCAGTTCCAGTTTTACCCTCACACAGAGCCTTGTATCGCAGTAATAGGCATTTCACTATGTTTTAGGATCATCGCTTCTAGGATCATTGCAGCTCTACTCAGATTGGGGGAAAAGAACATCTCTGGTGGCGAAACCTCTCTTCGCATCTAAGTGTCCGCCACAGTCATGCCGTCTGTGAGGAAGCTGAAGTTTGGGCATCCTTGTGTCACAATCTCTTACCTTAGTCCTTCGTGCCCACGTGATGTAGGATAAAACACCAGCTCCTCTCTTAGTGTGTTTGCCATGTCCCACACCGGACACTGGAATCACGCCGCTTTTCATGACGGACGTCATGACGTCAATGACGTGGCCCTGCATTATCAATACCGACCCAGAACATTTTGGGGGTGTGGTCTTAAAGCAAAAGATGCTCCCTTATAAAATGGGCACCTTTTGCTTTTTTCCTTGCCCTATCGTGGTTCCTTGTGCTCCCCTTAGGGCTATTTGGTTCTCCTTGCGTATATATTGTTATTTATGTGTACTGACTCAGCTTGGCTTTTGACTTTCCTTTTTTCTGGTTCCATGACTCGGCTTGCATTTTGACCTCCTGATTTCTGGTATCCTGATCCGGCTATTATTGTATTGTTCTCCTGATCTCTGGTATCCTGACTTCTGGCTATTCTTTGACTACTCTTTTCTATCTACTTTAAACACGACCATTCTAGGGTTCGGTAATACATGTTTGGGTTTTCTTGGGTTTACATACTGCATGTTGGGTTATTACACGACCGTGATACCTTGGAACTTTCAACAAGACAATGATCTCAAGCATACTTCAAATTCCACCAAGGCTTGGTTGCAGAAGAAGTCCTAGAAAATTCTACATTGGCCATTACAATCACCAGACTTGAAGAAGGCAGTTGCAGCATGCAAACCCAAGAATATTACTGAACTGGAGACTGTTGCTCCTGAGCAATGGGCTAAGATTCCTCAGGAACGCTGCCAGAAGCTGGTGCCTGGCTATGCATCTTGTTTACAACAGCTCATAACAGTAAAAGTACTAAGTACTGAAAATGCTTGCCATGAAGGGGTTGAATAATTTTGAGACTTCAGAAGCTATTATTAGCTGCATTTTCAGTTGAATTTGGGTAAACCACTTGAAGCAATCATTGTGTTGAGCAATTTCAATTGCTTTTGTTTGATTGCTTTGAAAACAGCTGAAAGTCTGTACATTTTGATAATAAGCCCAATTTTCAGTGGAGTTTGACTAATTGATTACAACTGTTTTTTTTTTGTTCAGCCATATGGCTGAAATTTGGCCATCCCAAAATTTAGTTAATTTTATGCAAAAGTGATTCCACTGTGCACAACTCTAGTACTGATACAATGGAATGTTTGTGCTATAGAGATTGACCATTTACCTGTAACATAAGTATTACTGTATATTTGTATGCCAAATTAGTTTTTCACATACAGTTTACACATATTCACATAAGTAGGAGTGTAGGAGTATATTTATATTAAATGTTATCAGTATAAGAAAAGACTAAGCAAATATACAATATTATTGCTTTAACACATTAAAAAGATGACAACATATGAGAATCAGGGCATGGGGCATTTCTAAATAATAAGCAGGTAATATAGGTGTAGAAGTTCTCACTGATAGACTCAAACTCTTCTGATGCAAATAGTGAAGGTTCGGTGCATCTGCCTTCAGTTCTTTTTAAACTAAATTAAAGGGACTCTCCAGACACCTGAAGCACTTTAGCTAAAATGCTTTATGTGTGAAGAATATGTTATTTAGTTTCATTGTTCATAAAGTGCAGTTTTCAATAGAAATCAACACTTTTTATAAATTAACATTGTTTACCCCGGCTGTCAGTCAGACATCCAGTCGTTTTATTTCCTGGTTTGGTTAGCTCA